AGACACAGGAGAGAAGACCATATGAGTCAGAGGTAGAGGCTGGAGTCACACAGCCCAACCCAAAGACCTCCCTAGAGCCACTAGAAGCTGGAAACGGCAGCTTCCTAAAATCTTCTGAGGGACCACGGCCCTGCCAGCATCTTGATTATGGATTTTTTGTCCTCCACAACTGTGAGAGAATAGATTTCTGTTGTCTTAAGCCATACGGTTTGTGGTAGTCTATTATGGCTGCTCTAGGAAACTACAATGGAAATTCATTGTAATAGGATTAACTATACATTATGACTTAATTATATCACTTTATTTTATTCAAATTGATGTACCTGATTTTTTTAAAATTTTGGTTAGCATCGAACACTTGATGATTCTGCTTTGGGTTTAAATAACACTACCTTTTAACCTCAGAGTTAAAAAAGAAGGCTACCTTTTAACCTCAGAATGTTCTGATCCCAAAAGTTTTCCTCATAATTTCTGTTACTCATGCAACCTTGAGAGAATGTCCAGAGTTGTGGGAACTGGGGAATTCTGGACTAACTAGGGAGAGCAGCCTTATCATCTCAGCCTTCAACATGGTGACAGATGCCAGACACCCAATAGTTTGCTTGACTTCTATCCACATCATGGGTGATTAAACATAGCTAAAATAAGGTTATCAGTGTGACTGTAAAGCACAATTAAAAATTTTGCCCTACATTAGTATGTTTGCTGCTGGCAAGGTATTGAAATCCAAGTGTATACACTCCCTTGGACCTTGACTGGATGGATATGTTTTGATAAACTTCATGGTGGCTTTTTGGAAGAGGTTCTCCATTTGGTACAGGAGCTCCATGATCATTCTCTCCATGACCTGCCACCCCCCAGCCCCATTCCCTGGTCCACCTCAAGAAGTGAAAGAGTTAGCAATGGAAAATTATATAGCCATCATAAATAGTTTCAGCATTTATTTAATGGCATGGGGAAATGTCTTCTGTAAAAAGTTGAGTTAAAAAAAGCAGGATAAACTGGACACATACTATGATCCAAATCTGTTTAGTCATACACACCTTTATATGTACATACATTCAAAGTGAAAATTTTTCACAAAAGAGCTAAGTTGGCTGTCTCCAAATAATGGAATTACACACGAATTTTTGTTAGCTATATTTTCAAGTGCGTTTCTTCATAATGAGCATGTATAACTTTTACAACCAAAAATAACAATGTAACAGAACCCAAATAATATCTGGAAGATAAGAACCATCTTTGTGGGGTTAGTCCAACATTCTTAAGGTAGTTGCTTATTTCAGAGATGGTTTATAAAGGATATAAATTAATTCTGCAAAACTTCCTTATATATTCGAGAATACTTATCATCCTGATTTCCCACCTCACTTGTGTTATTTGCTTTTCCTTCACTGTTCCCACCCACCATGGGTACAGGTTGATCTGAGGCTGAGAAAGTAGAAAGACCAAAGTAGAGGGTCGGATGCACTATGAACAAAAGAATAATGAATTCTTCCCTCGGGCTCTGACTCCTCTTGGGACCAACGTGGCCTGATTGGAGGAGAGAGAGAAAACCAACAATGCCAGGGAGCTTGTATTTTTCTAAATAGTGGAGCACTTAATCAACTTCGTATCACTCCCCACAACCGCACATGGAGAGATGGGGGTTTGGGAGGATGTTAGAAGATTATTTTTTGCTTCAAATTTACTGGATCCAGTTACTGACAGCATAGAATATATCAAAAGTTGTTTGGCAAAAAGACTAATACTAAGTTTCTTTTTTTTTTTTTAAGATAATTCTAAGTTTCTTGAGGGCACGGACCACATTCTCCCTCACATTTGTTTACACAGAGCCTAGGACAGTGCCTCACACTGAGTACCCAATAAGTGTTGAAATCCAGAAAGAAAAAGTATTTTTGTGGATTTCAGATGACTGCAGAGGCAGTGGCTAACAAGCTTATCAACACAGTGGAATGAGCCTTCTGTATTAAAGGCCAGCAGAGCTTGAAGAAATCACTGGTCATCAGGGGGTAGGTCATGGAACATGTTGGGGAGTGTGTAGCTTTAAAAAAAATGCATCAGAATACAAAATGAAAGGGACCAGAAAGGACATGGGTGGTTTGAATGAGCAAATTTAATTATGACTTTATATTTGAAAAGAGAAAAACATGTGTAATGATTCTCAGAGGGTGGAGTGGGAGGTGTGGCTGAAGAGAATGTATGAAGTATATGCACAAATCTGAGCACATACCCAAAACTGGTGGGAAGGTATGGCATGTTCATATGTATGGATTTTTAAAGTTTGAGAACCACTGGACTAAGCAATTGGGTTCCCCATTCAACCCACGGCATCACTAAAAAAATAGAATTGCCTTTTCAACATCAATGATCACAGCCTTCACTGTCTCCCGACCCAGTGATCATGCCTAACCTGCTATATACTTCCAACCCTTTATATTTAGCTTTATAAAATATTTATCTTTGTAAAAGCTAGAGGATGGCACTAACCATTTTTTCTTCTCATCTGCCTAAAAACCCACATGACAATGTCTTCTAAAAATTTTAAAAATACCTTCGCCTCCAGGCTTCTCTGGTTCCGGTGCTTACTAGAGCAGAATTTGCCTGGAAAGCAGACAACAAATACACTAATATGTAACCACATGGAGAAAAGGAATCTGCATCTAGAGAACAGAGGAAAATACATGTGTATGTATTTTAGGTGGAGGGAGGTAGAGAGAGAGTTGGCAGAGTACAAATTAAGAGAGAAGGGAGACCCTTGTCAATTAGAATATCAAGCTCAGCAGTTCTCTCAAGTTAATTCAGGAAAGGAAGGCAAAGGGAAGGCACAACAGGCTTATGTATGTGCACCAAGCGTATGCATTTGTGTGTGTTTCCAATGTATCCCTAATATATTTACCTAAAGTGTACTTTTCCTAAGCCTTAAGGCATTCCAGAGTAGAAACCAGTTAAAATATTTATTTGTATATTTGACTATCAGGCCAACCTTACAGAGAGAAAATCTTCTGCTGAGTCTCAGAGCTTGGTGTGAAAGTCCGGGGTTAGATCATTTAAGCACCAATTAACCCACATCTAAAACCTGGCTTATCAGGTGGCCATGAAGCAGGTTGCTCTCGTCTGATCTTCAAGTTATTCTCAAGGAACATTAACCATAGATAAGCACTTCAAAATTTTTGGCAGTGAGTGATAAAAAAAATAGTTTCATTTCACTTAAACACTCCTACGGGACTATTTTCTATAGAGGCTTCATAGTTGAAGGCTTTTGCAATTCTTTACTTTCCCTAAACTTCAAAGTTAATAGAGAAGAGAACACTAGAAAGAAAACCATTCCCCAAGTAATAGATCATAAAGTACAATATGCTTCTGAATTTCTTTAATAAATCTTACCGCAATCCCCAAAACGTATGTCTTACAATGCAGCCCAAAGCTGGTGAATACATTCTACAGCGGTATGCACCCCCGTATGGTTGGTATGATTTCAAGATTTGAAACTTGATGGCCAGGGTCCAAATCCGATTTATTAACCTCATGACCTTGGGCCACCACCCTAACCACGGCCTTACGCCCTCGTCTGGGTAACAGAATCCTGACAGTAATAATGCCTACCTCCTAGGGCTACTGTCATGAGGACCGCCATGAATTAACTCACCCTAAAGTCTTAGCACAGTCTCTGGTGCATAGAAAGGACCCAAAAAATGTAGGTGAGGTTAACATTCTACCAAGAAAAAAACCCAATACTATAAATTATTTTAAGACAGGTTTTAAATTTTAAATGTTTGTCAGCAGATCCCTGCTCCTCTTTTCCACAGAGACACCGAGACAAGCTTTTTCCGAGAGGACTTTTAAGTAAAACAACTCGTGATAAAGACACAGGCTAGCATACCCCAATTCAAATCACGTTCAGACAAAATCATTACCTGATGCTGACTAAAACTGTTGTCTTCTGAGATATTACCTTCTTTAAACGCTAAAGCCTCAAAGTCTATAACTAGGAATTTAAGCAAATTAGAAGCCACTCTCTCTACGCAGCTGTCTCACTAACAAAATTCCACATCATGAACTTCTAATAATGTTTCTTGTCCACAGATTAATAGCAACCTAGTTGAAAACCACATCATTTCCTTTTTCTGCCTCATTTCCTTCAAAGTGAAACATAATTTTTTCTTGGACCTGGAATAAAAATTTCTAGATTAAGCAAATCGTTACCAGAAATGCAATTTTATACCACTACTATTTCAGGAACAACAAAACACAGAAAACATCTGTGTGGTGCTTGTTAATACATAAAAATAACCTAATATATATAGTGTATACCACCTAAGTGGAAAATTGAGTCTGTAACTAGAAGTGCAAACAGAAATCCACTACCGGTTCCATCAGTATTGTGTTTTGAAGTCCAGTTGGGAACATTTTAGGGACTGTGACACTTCTTTAAATCTTGGCCGGAGGTCACAAACTGCTTGGCATAGATGTTTCATTTGCCCAACACAATACTTTTAAAATTATTAAACTCAAATATTTTTAGGTGGGCCACGCCCGTTATTTACTGACAGGCCCTTAAAGGCATTTCATTTTGCAAACCTTGATTAAGGCCCATCCTTACAGAGAAGAGATCAAAAGATAATCATTAGTTAAATGGGTACCTCCCTCAATGATGTCCTGATGAAGTCCAGACACTTGGAAAATTAAAGGTCCTAATAGTTTCATTCAGAAATTCTTCTAGTTTTCTTGTTGGATTACTTTTAAGTATAGACTTTCAGGGTATGTATCTAACAATGCCTCATTCGATTAGGGTAGCTGAGCTGAGTTGTTAAGGTTCATTTATAGCTGGAGACTGAAAGAAATCAGAAAATAGGGAATTTTTAAAAAAACACGTTGGACCAAAATCCAAATTTTACATTATTTTCAAAAAATTAATAACATTCGGTCAATAGTTGGGTTTTTCCTCCTATAAAAGGAAATGAATTTGCTTGGTGCAATATTTAAAGAGGAACTAGTTCCTACTAATGTATTTCAATGAGTATTTATATATATATATACACACGTAGAGACACACACATATATACACACATACTCAGAGCACGGACTGAGCCAACTATAACTCTCATTCTTTTCAGTTCCTTCGTACTTTCTGGGAGATTCTACTCCACTTACAAATTAAGCCTGAGTCTGGGAGCCAAACAAGAGAGCACTGGAGAGGGTTTCCTAAAGCATTAGTTCATGCGTCACTCCAAAGGTATTATGTTTTAGGCACTGATGAGGCACAAGCTAGCTGGTTTTAGAGTCCAAATGTTATTAGTTAAGCAACCTTTTAAATTAACGTAGAGGAAGGCTTCCATTCAGACTGCCCCAGTAAGTACACCCTTGTCTCCAGCATCTTCCGAACACAAATACAAGGCACCCTGCTGTGACTTTGCTTCTGGGGCCGCTGCCCCTGAACTCTGTTGGATGAGTCTTTCTGAAGGTTCTGGCGAATTCTCCCTCCATCTGGGACTCGAGTGCTGCTGGGAGACTTCCCAGAGTGAAGGACACGGGGAAGGGAGCCCCAGAGCAGACCTTGAGAGGGGATCCTCTTGAAGGCCTACTTCCTGGACACACCTGTTGGAAAGCACTTCCTTCTCTTTGGAATTCCGCCACTTCATTCTTCTGTTCTGAAACCAAATTTTCACCTGTTGACAAAATAATTGGACAAAATGGTCACTTACTCCACGTTACTTCACTTCAGCATTGTAAACTGTAATGCCTTCTACGAAATACCTTATTGTGAGAGCCAGCCTAGCAAAGTCCTTATGGCTTTTCACCTGGGCTCCTTCAAAATTATCTGAACAACTGCTTTAGTATAATATCCCCACACTGATGAAACAAAACGACTGCAATAAGCGGGTTACCGCCTGCAAGTCTGACATCTTTCAAAACTGATTTAACATTCAACAGTTTAAAACATCATTTAGTCCATGCTAAATTATTTACACAAAGGAAAGGCTATCGGCTAGTAATAGTGTTTACTTTGTGCGAGGTGTCAGGCCATGCATGCTGTGTGGATTACATAATTTGATCCTCACGATGACTGTACCAAGTCCTCATTTCACATGTATGAAAATTGAGGTTCAGAGTGATAAACCAGTTCAAGGTCACTCAGCTAGTAAAATGGAAGCACTTAGAACAGAATCCATGACTGTCCCACTCCAGTGCCCAGGCTCTTATAACATTCAGATTTCATTAGGAACTTCTGGAAAACTGAATTAGGAATGCATTTTATAATGCTTTGATAAATTCCAGGCTTCAGTTTCCAAGTTTGATTACTCGTATGATTTATCAAACTTGAATAATTAGGCTCAATAACAATCGTTATTAACCCCAAAGTACTTATGATGGTGGTTTCTAATTTGAGCCATACTTCCGCCCCACCCCACCAGAGTCTGTCTTTACTATTAACTCCCCCCTTTATCTACTGCGTAGTCAACCGTGCCTGATCAGAAAACTTCAACAACTGGTTTCCTGATATTTTAAAAGTCAATCACATTGTTTTCCTGAGCATTATACTGCATCTTTACTTGAACAATTTAGTGGGTTTCTATTTTTAAAACAAAAAACTAGGAAATTTTACCTTAAAAAATAATTATTAAAGCGTTACCAACCAATGTTTCTCCCAATGAAGGAAAAATTTCTATCTGAGATGATCTTTCCAGAACGGCAGAACAATTCCTTCATTCTTTCAACCTGACTGGCAATTTCAAAATGGCTGCAAAGAACCTGACCCCAGGCAAGTGAGTCCAAAAGACTGCCATCTCAGTTACAATTCTGTGGTTAAGGCTTTTCATAAGAAAACAGCACTAATGTGTACATACCAGAGCATTTGGTTCTAGTCATGAACTCATTTATTATTTGCAGTGGGCATTTACTCCTAGAAAGCCTGCCAAGTATTTCTAGTGGGTTTTCACTAAGACATTTTATTTGTGCCCATTGGTGATTCTTGCCCTTCTCATCACATTCATTATTTTCTTCTTTCCTTAGTTTTTCTGTAGACCTTGAATTTTTTCTGAGTGATATCTCAATGAAAAAAAATCATGAAGAAAGTTTCTTCACAATCAACAGTATTGAAACAAATGTACATATCTGGGGAAAACCATAAATTAAAAGTTCTACCTCTCAACAAATACAAAAACAAATTCCAAATGGATGAAACAGCTAAACACAAAAACAAAACTATAAAAGTTCTAGAAAAAAACTATGAGATTGTCATTACAGTCTTAGAGAGATGAATTTTTTTTAAGCATTGACATAAAACACTAAGACCACAAAAGAAAAAATAGAGCTGCCAACATAAAAATGAGAAATTTCTGTGTAAAGACACCACAAACATATGAAAAAGCCACAAACTACCTAAAAGAATTAAAAGCAGAGACTTGAAGAGATATTTGTATATCCATGTTCATAGCATTATTCACAAAAGGTAGAAGCAACCAAAGTGTCCACTGATGGGTGAATGCATAAACAAATATGGTATATACATACAATGGACAATTATTCAGCATTAAAAAGGAAGGAAATTTCTGACACATGATACAACATGGATGAACCTTGAAGATAGTATGCTAAGTGAAATAAACCAATCACAAAAGGCCAAATACAAATGATTCCACTCATTTGAGGTACCTAGAACACTCAAATCATAGAGAAAGAAGGTGGTGGTTGCCAGGAGCTGGGGGGAGTGGGGAAGGGGGAGTCATTGTTTAATGGATACAGAGTTTCAGTTTTACAAGATAAAAAAGTTCTGGAGATGGATGGTAGCCATGGTTGCTCAACAATGTGAATGTACTTACTGCCCCTAAATTGTACCCTTAAAAAAGGTTTAAATAGTAAATTTTATGTTACATGTATTTTACCACAGTAAAAAGAAACCCTCAAACTTGAAGAGTTTGCAATGGTTGTAACAGGAAAATGTTACTAAACATAATATTCCAAATATTTTGATGACAGCTGAAATAATTGCTACAAATAATACAAATAATAGCCAAAAATTAGGAGCAATCCAAACACCCACCATTAGAATGGATAAACTGCTGTATACAGTGTAATGGAATACTAACAGGGCAATGAGCTCAAAGGACCACTGATCTAACTGCTTTATTTGGCAGTATATCTAACGTACCGGGTGATGTCCCCTATGGTATCGTATATTATTATCTAACCGTTCATGAGCTTCTGCTTTGTTTTCCCAGTTGCTCATATAAATTCCTGGGTGCACAGAGTGTATCTTAATCAGTGCTTAATCAACACTCCCTCTTACTGCCTACTTACTAGTACAGCGTCTTGCACACAACAGACCATCAAGATATAGCTACTGATTTATCTATCATATATGCAAAACTGCTCTGCGACATAGACAGAATTCCTGTATTTGTCTGCTTTTTACGTGAGAAACTGAGGTTAGGGATCTGTAGTACCACACAATGAGGAAAGCACAGATGGGCTGATGTAGGCCAATTACCCTCTACCACACAGTATGTACTGCTTCCTACAACTAGAAAAAGTTGGGGGGGGGGGACAGATCACTTCCCTAGGGAAAGGAAGCAAGGTTAAGGAGAGTTTCATCCAAAAATAACTGGTTTAATAAAGTCCAAAGTTAGAAACCAGGTCATTTGTATTAAGCGAAGAACAGTAGAGCATGGTAGTTACACAGGGCCTCTGCTAGCCCTTCAATGCCTTTATGCTAACTCAAAAAATAAAAAAAAGAAGATAGTAGGAAGGGTAAAATGAAGGGGGGGAATCGGAGGGGGAGACGAACCATGAGAGACGATGGACTCTGAGAAACAAACTGAGCGTTCTAGAGGGGAGGGGGGTGGGAGGATGGGTTAGCCTGGTGATGGGTATTAAAGAGGGCACATACTGCATGGAGCACTGGGTGTTATGCACAAACAATGAATCATGGAACACTACATCAAGAACTAATGATGTAATGTATGGTGACTAACATAACATAAAAAAAAAAAAAAATCCAGGTGGATGTAGCCTTGCACCAGGAAAGCCAGTTTGGCAGGCGGAGCACCTGCTACATTTCGGTTGCTGCCATGCCTCTTTGCCTGTGTGCCCTTGTGCAGTGCCATATCCTGCACAACGATACATGACAGCTCCAGGTTAAATAGAACACAAACTCCAGAGTCAAGTTGCCTGGGGTGAGAGCCCAGCTCCAAAGCAGCTTCACTACATGACATCAGACCCGTGTTTACTTCCCTACACTTTCTCATCTAGAAAATGAGGACAATTATGGTGCTTATTTTATACAGTGATTATAAAATGATTAGTCATAAAATACTAGTACCTTAATGTAGAAGAAAGGTTTGTAGGTGTTGCAAATATGAAACTACTTTACTGTACTTGACATAAGCTCAGAGTGCAGAGTAATGAAATCTATTTGAAGGTATTTATGAGTCACATATTTATGACTGGATTTTGGATTGGAAATGAAGAAAAAGACAGGAAAATTGGTTCCTGCTTTTGTAAATTATGTAGTCTACTTCTCTGAAACCAGAGCAAACAACTAATGATGTAAATGCCACATCCTTAGTGGTTCTCTTCATTTGGGGAGAATTAATCATGCAAAAACCTAGACCTCTCAGCAAATGGACCTATTTTCAAATAGCAATTGTGACATATATTTCCACCCACACAATTGTGAAAATCATTTCAGTTAACACTTTAGGGTCCAGCACCATACCTAGTACAACAGACATTGCCAAATGCATGGATTTCATTGTATTCCTTCGGAAATCAGGAGCAGTGGACAACTTCCTGCTCATTAGTACCTGTGATTCCTTTAATCCCAAGCTGAGGGCAAGTTTCTTTCGGTCTGTTTTGCTGATATATTTCTGCTTCTGAAACATTTTCTCCAGAGCCTTTCTCTGATCCTCAGAAAAAACAGCTCGTCTTAAAATACCCCTCCGAGCTTTGGAGTTAGAGTCCTGCGTCAAGAGAGGCAGCACACCCCCTTCTCCTAGAGGAGGAAGACAGGTACAAAAGCCCAGTTAGCGTTAGTGAGGAGAAGCCCATCTGCCTTTCCCAGGACAGTATCTTCCTTCTCTGTACCACGGCCAAATCATCTCCTCTCCGAACTCTGCACACTCAAGAGCAGTGCTTCTTCCATGGTTTTGGTCATGGACTCCATTGAGAAATCTGATATATACTCTTGGCTCCCCGATGAGAAAAAAGTATATATGCTTGCCCTCCCAACTTGGGTGCCATGTTAGAAAGTCTATGGTCCCGTGTTACAAAACTCAAAGGCAGAACAAATAGTAGGTGGGTTAAACACTCCATTTTTCTCTAATTCTTCATTTATTTATTCGTTTTTTTCTCTCAACAAAGTTTTGAACACTTACCATATGCCAGGCACTCTGCTCAGTGTTACACATTGAGACACAAGACGAATACATTTTATTGTACGCATTACCCATAAGATTTAGTCAAGGCATTTATTGAACTAGCATCACAAGTGTGAGGATATGTTCCAAAGAAGGCTGCCTTGAGCGCACAAAACAAGGATCTGATCTTAATCTGGGATTTCAGGGAAAGCCGGTAGGAGTCAGAGATGTTCGACCTGAGAAGGGAGGTTTGGAAGATCCCCAAGCACTACACCACTCCCCAATCCAGCTGACCATCAACTCCTTCAGGTCAGAGATATTTACTACTTTTTCTGCCTTCTGTGGCTAGCACAACTGGTTCCCACCCTCTAAGAGTTTCATTCATCATTCATCCACTCATTCAGTCATTCAGCTTCCCAGTTATGGTAGGAAGAATAATGGCCTTCCCAGAGATGCCTATGTGAATATGTTCCCCAGAACTTAGAAATACATTACATGACATGACAAGGGGGAATTTAGGTTGCAAATGGAATTACAGCTGTTAACCAGATGACCCTGAGATTAGAAGAGTATCCTGGGGTAACCAGGTGGGCAATGTATATGTGCTGCCGAAGCGAGCACAACCAGGTGGGCAATGTAATCACAAGGGTCCTTATGAGTGGAAAAGGGAGGGGAAAAAAGAAGTCACAGAGAGAGACTGACTTTCTCTGATGCTACACTTCTTGCTTTGAGGATGGAGGAAGGGGCCACAAGCCAAGATGCAGGCAGCCACTAGAAACTGGAAAAGGCAAGAAACAAATTCTTCCCTAGAGCTTCCAGAAGGAACTTGGCCCTGATGACACCTTGATTTTAGTCCAGTGAGACCCATTTCAGGCTTCTGACCCCCATAAGTGCAAGATAATAAGCTTGCATCAAGACAGTAGGTTTGTGGAAGTTTGTTACAGCAGCAAGAGGACACTCATACCTGGTATCCGGCTAACTGAGATTTGAGGAAACCAGACCAACAGCACATGGTCCTTGCCCTCAATGAGCTCACGTTCTCATTGGAGGACTGACATGAAGATCACAGTGAAATACAGGCACCCGGGGAAGAGCGACGCCAGTTTATGGCTGTAGCTGGTACACATTTTGGTGCTTAATAATTATTTCTAAATAAAAAAGCAAATTAATGTCTTAAGCACTACAGGAGAATGAATGATCTTATAAAATGCTCTGGCATCGCAAAGGAGGAAGTAATTGACTCAGAGAAAACAGGTTGAGCCAAGTCTAAAAGACCAATCCAGTTCAAGAGAGAAAGAACCAAGGCCAAGCTAGGCAGAGTGACTAGCACGTCTAGAAGCACTGAGGTACGCCTATAAATACAGAGGACAAACTGATGGCTGCCAAAGGTGAGGGGGGTGAAGGATGGGGCACAAAATGAGTGGAGGGGAGTGCGAAATACAGGCTTCCCTTTATGGAATGAATAAATTATGAGACTAGAAGACAGCATAAAGAATGTAGTCAATGATACCGTAAGAGTGATGTATCAGGACAGATGGTAGGTGCACTTGTGGTGACCACAGCATAATGTACAGACTTGTTGAATCACTACGTTACACCTCTGAAACTAATGTGACTTTGTATGTCAGTAATATTCAACATTTTTTTAAAAAGCACTAAGGCATAAAGGAATAAAATTTATGGCAGGAAAACTAAGCAGTCTGCAAGGCTGGGAAGGGCATGAAGCAGAGGGGGCAAGATGGCAACCATATCCAGCCCGCAGATGGGCTTTGTTTGGTCTTAGAATTCTGATGTAGTTGTTCACATTTAATAATTAGATTTCATGTGAAGTCCAGGTTTCTGACATCTCTTCAAAGGTAACCACACTAGGCTCATCTTCCCAGAAAGCAAAGAGCTACCAGAGTGAATAGCAGGTGTCCCCTTTTGATGGAATGTGTGGCCCTCAGTTTGCCACAGCCTCACCTAGCTTGCTTTTTACCTGCCAGGCTCTTGAAGACATTTGGACCTTTGACATAGAGATTATAGAGTGGAATGGAGCCAGATCATAGAGTACTATGAGAGTTTGGGATTTTATCCAATAGTAGTGAAGATCAGTAGCAGATGTTTAATCAGGGTGTGACACGATAATAATAAACACAGAGTACTCTGTACCACTATACTTACTCTGTGTTAAGCCACTGATTTGCATTAATTCATTTAATCCTGCCCAGCCTATGCCCCAAATGTTATACTATTCTTCTCCCCACTTTACAGATGAATAAAATGAAGATTAGGCAGCTTACGAAATTTTGTCGAAGGGGTACATGACTAGGGTTCCAAACCCAGGACAACTAATTTCAAAACGAATGCTCCTAACACTACACAATATACTCTAACTCAATCTGACTTGTATTTTAGGGGAAAAAAATGTCAAAAATTAATAAATCTTGTCAAATCTACTTCTGTAATATGATAGCTTCCTTTCTTGTCTAAAAGACTACAGATTATCTCCCAGTGAGTCTCTCAGCCCTGGCTTACACCTCATTCTGTTTCATCCTCACATTGCAAGAAAGCCTCTCTCTCTTTCCTTCCAGCTCTGTAACATTTGCATCTCCTCAGAAATGCCATAGCTCCTGGGATGTAATCAAGCCTAATTTTTTACAACGGTCTACTTTTATTGATGCTCTTTCCATTCATTGTATGAGATCTTACAATTCTGTTAATTCTCCATCTACAGTATTTTTTTTTTTTTTTTGCCTATCACATGCCAAGGCCATACCTTGAAGTCAGGTTTTGACAACTGGATTCACTGATTCTTTATCAAAGATTTAAGTAGTTTTATGAAATATTGGTCAATAATAAAAAATATTCTAAATATCTCAGTATGTTCTTTTTCTAAATGTTCTTCTTCTCTGAACTTTCCTTTGTAGAGACTATGGAATTGGGCCTTCTATATTAGTTACAAGATTCATCTGTTGGTATGATCTCTCTCCAGGAAGGCTAGGACAAAGGAGTTTGAAATGTGTAATATGGAAGAACTGGGTTTGGATCATGGCACTTACCTGTATGACTTAAAGCAAGTTACTCAGCCTTTTTCAGCTTATCTTACAAGGTTGCTCTAAGGATTCGATGACCTAACACAAGAAAATTTCAGTGCCTGGCCCACAGTAAGGATCCCACGAATCTATCTACTTTTGCTTGTTGGATTTCATTAGATTCTTATAAGAACCATATGTCACAGACATCCTCTGTATAGATGAAGAAGTATTCAGGGCTGAACCATATGTCACAGACATCCTCAGTACAGATGAAGAAGTATTCAGGGCTGTTAAGGTCCAAAGCCACACCAAGAACACAGAGCTCAGCTGGTAGCAGGACCTTCTGAATCCAAATGTTTGGCTCCTTCCTCTGTGCTATGCTGTTTCTTTACTCAGATATCACATGTCAAAACAGAAGGGAAGAAACACTTGAAACACAGACCTCCTGTCTGTGACAACAGGCTTCTGCACCCTTTCCTGGACCAGTGTGTGAGTGTGGACTACAGGGCATCTCCTGTATAGCCTAATAATTGTGTCCTCAAATTCCACCATGCCCTATCACTTGATATTTTGATTCTGGTATTTTTAATTTGTAAATGTATATAATCTATCATTATTATAGCCACATGTATTAAAAATTGGGGAAAGAAATGTAAACATCCAAAGGTAAAGAAATATCCACTTGGTGAAATTTTAAAGAACCATTAAAGATGAGAACTGTGAAAAGCAGGCAGCAGCAAAGAAAATACGCTATACTGCATATGATAAATAAGACACATACTATGTTTATAACTAAGTAAAAATGCAGAGAAGAGACTGAAAAGGCAAAAATAAACATAAAATAGGCTACTATAGAGTTATGGACAAATAATTCATCTCTATTCTGCATTTTAAGTCTGGTTCTACTTTCTAAGGAAAACAAAGCAAACATTGTAGCAACTTTTTTGGGAATAATCCTCTTTTTTAAAAGATTTTATTTATTTATTTGACAGAGAGAGAGAGAGCACAACTAAGCAGATCTGCAGGCAGAGGGAGAGGGAGAAGCAGGCTCCCTGCTGAGCAAGGAGGCCAATGTGGGGCTCGATCCCAGGGTCCTGGGATCATGAACTGAGCTGAAAGCAGATGCTTAACCGACTGAGCCAGCCAATGTGGGGCTCGATCCCAGGGTCCTGGGATCATGAACTGAGCTGAAAGCAGATGCTTAACTGACTGAGCCACTCAGGCGCCCCTGGGAATAATCTGGTGGAGTGATGGGGATGTTGCTAAGTGACAATTGAAGATGAAGCCAATCCATCTCTCAGGTGCTCACAGTTGATTAGGAGAGGTCCGAGAGGTATACAGCCAGCCACAATACAGCGAGATAAATAACTGCAGACCATGGCAGAGAAAGTACTTAAGAACCAGATAGGAAGCCACTTAGTCTTGGAGCCTAGCAGAGTAAGTCCTGAGAGAGAAGAAAAGCTAGAAGAACAGCATTTCCTCTAACAGGCAATCTAAACAAAGGCAGGCAGAGCAGAGGGGTTAAAATCTGCAGGCCCATGAGTGGAGCGAGGACATGGGCAAAACACGGTGGACCTAGAATCTCATACAGCTTGGTATTTCCAGACTGCAAGGTATGA